TGGTAAAGTGGCGAAAATGTCTTGCACCTCGGGGCCAGCTAAGTGCAACAACAGTGCTCTCCTTCTCTGACGAGTAATGTTCTGTGCGCGGTTATGTGGTGCATCTCCTTCCATCAAGTCTTCAATTATTAGTCCTTTCCCATCTGCCAGAAATCGGAATGCCGTCAGCCATCGTGACCACCGTGTGCCTAATGTAGCCGGGTCTGTGTAGCATTCAAACGGCTGAATGCCTCTCTTACCACCGAATTTGTCTCCCATAGTTTCGAAACGAGCGTGGGTGCGTTGTTCACCTCATCGCCAGTGTAATAACTGCTGATGATTATGGATTTAACCACTTAGGACAATAATGTACACGACAAATTATGTTTGTTAGCCTTGCTGGTCTTCCATTTATTCCAAGAGGCTCTTCCCACAATGCAACTGTTTGAACATAACAATTAGAGCAATCATTGTGTGATAGCAGAAGACTACATTATCAAGAGCTAATAATACCTTTGGTATTATTAGCTCTATTATTATATCTTATAAAGGTATTATTAGCTCTTGATGTTATATCACTGTGCCTAATGATGCGTCCACGCATCCACACGGTGCGAAGCGCAAACCAGAACATTTAGCATCAGAGCAGGGGATTCATAACGAAAAGATATAATTTTAACAACTATAAAAACGTTTTTTTGGCGCGTTCCTGTAGGTAAAGGTCATAGTGACTGCAATACTACTGTGCATCTTACCAAGAGCTAATAATACCAATAATTATATTACAAGGTATTATTAGCTCTTGATCTTACATGTTGACACTCTCGCGTAAATTCACTATAAGGATGCATACGTACAGGCTCTATGGAAAACAGACATTCTATCAGGAGTGGATAAAAACGACAACAACGATGTTTTCATACACTCCTCATTCTATAAGAAGATATTTTCTGATATGTGAGCCACATGTGAATGTAATGATACCCATATGTAGCAAGTACGCACCAACGTGGGGAGTGGAAAACAGACGCTGATCATAATGAATTATGTGGCAGCATTTCACAAGTGAGTCGGTAGCTCGCACTTACCCGCTTTTCGCGAAGTTACTGAAGTAGTTCATCATGTGTTTGCTGACCTCCTTGTCATACATCGTGAAGCCGGACACATCCGGCGGAAGTCCGAACATATACGCGATATCCTCCGCGTGCATCACACCAGCCCATTCCGGCGTCTTGCTGTCCGTTGACCGATGTGTGAAAAAGTACATGTAGACGTTTTCTCCTTCGTCCGCATAACGGCTTGCTTCCTTAACGGCGGGGCAGACGAAGTGGTAGTCACCAATCATGTCAATTAGAGACTGGCTTTTGGAGGTGGGCGCGTACGACCAGTCAGTGTAGGTGAAGGCGACAACCTGTAAATGTTCAATTGTTGTAAACGTCGATGTAATCAATATGGCAGCAAATGTGTGAGCGACATCACGGGAATATTTGAAAGATGCCTTTTAATTTCTCATCTTCTTCTTTCGTATAAACCGGATTCGTATAACGAGGGTACCTGTGAATTGATCTTGTGCAACTAACCAATAGGTCAAGGCGACCAAGGGAAGGCAGTTACGGCAAGAATTAAGCAATTGCAGACAATTTTCGAGTGTCAATAGAGAATGGTAGCGCGTAGAGCTATCGTGTGCGCAGACGAATATAGAAGAAAACTTAGAATAGCCTTCACAGCAGAATCCTTTGTTACTAAAGGTCTTTCACCACTTTACTTCACATGAAATCATGGCCGATGCTAAAACGCTAGGTTTTATAAAGGTAAAAAACATAGATGTAATTTTCGATCTAATGATACAATAAAAATATATCATTGCTAGTTTAATGATATTGTAAGCGGGCAAAGACCACACGCCAGGGAAGGTGATGACGGATGCGAGAATGGTGTCGGGGTAATGCATAACACAGGAGCGGGCGAGTCAGCGGTCGACACGGAGATCAAAGAGAGCCGACTCGAGATGGCGCCAGCTAGGCTGGGAATCGCAGTCATGAATCCCCGGAGTGTGACAGGCGGCCGCACACGTGCTGACCTATAGATGATGGTGCTGACCGATAGATGGCTGTGATGGCACCATGGTCCGAATTGACCATGGCGTCGCGCCAAGGGCGCACCGCGCATCCCGCCACCATATTAGGTAGCGGGAGATAGCAGTAGGAATCCGGACTCTGCCGTGTTCGGGAGGGCCGGTTGGTCAGAGTTGGGAGCTAAAAGAGATCTGTGACGTAAGGGAAGAAACGCGATCGCGGGACCGGGGCGCGCCGTATAAAAGAGGAAGCGGCCGACTGCTCGGGGCTTCTTGTGTCGAGACGTAGTCTGGGAAAGGTGTAAGTTGCGTGATACGGTTACTATGCACTGTAATGTCTTTTCTATTCGTTAGCGCACTGAGACTTCATGTATTGTATTAGAGATGTAGTAAAACACTAGTGAACGCTACTCTTGTCTTTTCTTATCTCTCTCTATAGTCTATTACAGAATTCCACATCGTAGCGCAAACACAGCGTCTACAATATACTTGGTTTTGCTACCTCACATTACCGCATCACAAATCATCACACACCGCCGCTTCCCATTTCCTCCCACACCAGTTCATCTCTCGCAGGCCCATAACCCACCTCTCTCTCTCTCTCTCTTTCTCTTTCTCGCGCGCTGACAGAGTTTGGCTTAAAAATTATACTGGAAAATTCTGCGCTCAAGGAGGCAGTGTTGTAGGTCTCACCGTGTTTATTCAGACTGTTTTACACATACATTGCGCTCAGCGAATTCATTTATTCGGCTCTGTTGCGGAACTGTGTGGTAACTACCTTGCGCTACCACCCCCTTATCACAACAAGCTGGTATACTGTTACAATAATTGCGCGCAATGAAACCCAAATTTTAAGTTGTACACGCGGCGCAAAAGCTATCTGCCGAAACCAGGTAGATTTGTTACACAATAGACATGCGTGTAATGTACAGAATACACACGTGCTCAGCCTTAAGATCTCGGGTGTTGAGAGTTTCGCGCCGTCTTCTCCTCTACTTATTTTATTGTTACCTGACAATGTCGCTTCATAAAAATTTCAAATTTTTTAAACAAATTTAGACACACGGTTTTAGGTTTTAAAGTGTAGGGTTTGGGGTAGAAATTATAGTTTAGGAACACGGTTAAAGTTACAATCAATATAGCTAATTTAGATTTACAATTTTACGCTGGCCACCCTTGACACCTACGAGCGAGTCGGTAGGGGCGAGATTGCAGGGGTGGGATGTCCATAATCACGTAGGCCAATTCGTAAGAGGCCACAGTTACATATACGTGCACAATGCATGTAATAACGCGTAAAGACCAGTGTAATAGCAACTCTCCAGTGTGATAACGGAGTTTATTATGAACGGTGACAAGCCCACGATCAACTACGCGCGTCTCCCGCTCTGACTCTCCCGCCGAATATGTGGCACCACTACTAATCGACTCTGTCAAATTCCACATTATCTACCCTTGATACTATTCTCAGTAACCATAATAATATTATGGTTTTCTAGATACACGGCCTAATCTTGTAACGTTTTCAATGGCTTTCTGCCCTGTGCCTTTACTTTCTATTTCATGCAAACAAGCGACAGATCCAGGAGCAGAAGACACCCCCCATTTTTGAACAAAAACATACATAGAAGTGAGCGGCCTTGTCTGTCTGTACACCCCTTTTTTTAATCGAAACTAGACTCGGACTCGGACTCGGGTGGTGTGGACTCGGACTCGGACTCGGATGGCGCGGGAATCGGACTCGGACTCGGACTCTGGGGATGCGGACTCGGACTCGGACTCGGACTCTGGGGGTGCGGACTCGACTACAACACAGACTGCAAGCATGAAACGTGTAAGAAGAGCAACGAAGGTGGTTAGAGATGAGCGCTGTAACTGGGAGCGTCTGCGCAGAGTATAAGAGCATGAGCTCACACATACTAGTATCGACATTGTATATATCCTGCACATATGTCAGTTTATGCTGTATACTGGATTTACTTTCGTAATACTCTAATAATTTACCCCCAACGTTGACCTAAAATATGTTTATAAACCCCAGGCAGGATAAACAAGCGTGATCACGTTGTTATTCCACGTAAACATTCCACCGCCATCCGATATATGTGGACAACAGATTCTCGTTTCACGTATTACTGCTTTCCGCCTCTATGTAAGTCGCTATTTTTAATAAAGAGGACAAGATATAGCAGCCCTCCTGGCTTGCTGGCTGGTTGGATTCAAGCTATTGAAAACCAGATTTTTGGTACGATTGTATTCCTATCGCCACTGAGCTTTCCCCTCAACAAAACCAAGGTAAATATACCTTGCGATCATACAGCATTTGTCGGCTTTAAGCTCAACATTCATCGGTAATATTACACATATGTGTCGATTCCTGTAAGCGCTTTTCTGGGTGTGAAAAAATCTGATATAAGGTAAGCTTTGTCATTTTCCAAACCACTCATCTCAGTACCTTCTGGGTGACAATCATTGTTCACTGTTTACACTTTCTCTTTAGACTGTCACATCCATATGTCCAACCTTATAATCATAATTAAGTAGAGTAGCTTAAAACGTGCAAGTTAAAATTCAAGTATCCCCGCTTGTGGCATTCTTACGTAGGTTACCGAGTCGCGACGTAGCCAGCCATTACCGTAACAGATTATATAGAAGATTGTAATTTTCGTGTTGGATGCACTAACAGCTTGTAATAGCAAAGAACAGGATAGAAAAAAAACAATCCACCTCTGCCGCAAACGAGATGTGTTCATATTGTATTTGCCGGTTGGAGGCAGCAGAGGCCAGAGGGTTCCATCGGACCCGAAGCACTGCATCTGTCAGTTCGCGTCTATTTATAAATCCAAAATACGCCTGCATCGTCCCTCGCCACCGCCCATGCGTGTAGGAGTTGGACGCTGTAGCCAGCAGCATCGGGAAGCTGTAAGTAAGTAGCTCCAGGGTCGAGCGGTGTTGCTGCTAGGCGATCATTGAAAGTGGCTAATGCTGTCTGCATGCAACCTGACTGCGCCAGCGGAAACCTCGTGAGAAAAACGGATTTAAAAGGTTTCAGGAACAATCGCACGCAAGGTAGAATTTGGAATAATAATTTAACTAGAATGTAATGTTCTTGATATTTCACGTGTGTATGCGTATTGTTAGTTTTTATTTTAGTTCTGCTGGATGGGTACATTAAGCAATCGGTAGTTCAATAGCACAGAAACTGTTGTTTGGCGCTTGGCCAACTTTAGCTTTACCATAAAGGTATTCACACACTACGCACGCAGGCACACACACATACACACGTGTACGCGTACACAAGCGCGTCGCACACGTACACACTTGCGCTCGTACGTACATACATACTACGGGTCTCTGTATATAACGTCTGAGTAGTCGCTCCATTGATCGTTATTAGATGATAGTGTTGTTCACCCAGTAGGGATTGTTTGATGGGAATATGACTGCTTAGATACGCCTCTAGGTATGACGTCACTGCCGATGAGCATGTTGCTGCTGATGATGACACTGGCGGCGTATGCGTACGGACGGTCCGCCGGACAAACGGCGGACATCGTGACTTCCTCTGGCCGACTGCGAGGTCGCGTCGAGGAGTTTGGTCGGACGAAGGTGCGCATCTTCCACGGAATACCGTTTGCGCAACCACCAGTCGGCAATCTACGCTTCAAGAAGCCAGTCGCCGTTGAAGCCGTGGCCAGGGTGCTGGAAGCAACCACCATGCCGCTGTGTGCCCGCAGCCAGAATCACTTCTGACAGTCCCCAGGGATACGAGCGAGACGAACCGAAGCGAGTATTGCCTATATCTCAGCATAGTGGCGCCGACGTGAACAGTAGTGGACGCGCGTCTGTCCACCATGGTGTGGATCCACGGCGGCGCCTTCATGTTAGGTGGAATCCGCGTCGATTATGTACAACCCACGCAACCTTGTCCTGTACACGAATGTCATCGTCGTGTCGATTCAATACCGCCTCGGACCACTCGGCTTTCTTTACCTCGGCAGCGACGATGCACCTGGTAGCATGGGCATGCTCGACCAGGTTCTTGCCCTTGAGTGGGTGAAGCAGAACATTGCTTTGTTCGGCGGAGACCCGGACAGCATCACACTGATTGGTGAGAGCTCGGGCAGCATGAGCGCTTCCTTCCACCTTGTGTCGCCCCTCAGCCGCGACCTGTTCAACAGAGCAATCATGATGAGCGGCAGTGCCATGATGCCCGGCGGGTATCACGAGCCCGATGACCAGAAGTCGCGCTCCGTGAACCTGGCGAAGGTCGTCGGATGCGACCATGACGACGAAGCAGAGATGGTCGCTTGTTTGATGGAGGTGCCGGCCAACGATCTCGCCACGGCTCAGCTCCACCCCGACGTGCTTGTCCTCGACCATGCTCTGGCCTTCCTCCTGAGCTTCGAACCCACGATCGACGGCAGCTTCTTGAAAGACGCGCCCGAGAATCTACTGAAGAATGGAGAATTCAAGCGCGCGAGCGTCATGTCCGGAACGGTTCGTGACGAGGGCTCATGGTTCATGATCTTCTCACTACCTACGCTGGTCAAACTCACTGACCCCACCAACGTGAGTGTCGACCTTTACGAATCGAGCATTCCGAAGTTGCTGCCAACGTACAGCGATGGCGTACACAAGGTAAACAAAGCGATGATGAGGGGGGTGGGGCGGGTATCGGCTGGATGGAATGATCTGTGACGGCGTGATGTAAGATGAGATGAAACGGAGTGGGATGCGGTGCGGTGAGTAAAACTGAGATGCGGTTGTGTGTGTGTGCGTGGGGAAATGTTTTGGTGTGGGATGAAGTGATGTGATGCGGAATGACGCGTTGAGTGTTAGGGTGGAATTGGATGAAGTGGGTTATGGGCCTGCGAGAGATGAACTGCTGTGGGAGGAAATGGGAAGCGGCGGTGTGTGATGATTTGTGATGCGGTAATGTGAGGTAGCAAAACTATGTATATCATTATACTAGCAATGATATATTTTTATTGTATCATTCGATCGAAAATTACATCTATGTTCTTTACCTTTATAAAACCTAGCGTTTTAGCATCGGGCATAATTACATGTGAAGTAAAGTGGTGAAAGACCTTTAGTAAGGATTCTGCTGTGAAGGCTATTCTAAGTTTTCTTCTATATTCGTCTGCGCACACGATATCTCTACGCGCTACCATTCTCTATTGACACTCGTAACTGCCTTCCCTTGGTCGCCTTGACCTATTCCTACTGGTTAGTTGCACAAGATCAATTCACATGTACCCTCGTTGTACGCATCCGGTTTAAGACGCAAAATACTGAGAAGAAGAAGAAGATGAGAAATTAAAAGACATCTTTCAAATATTTCCTTAATGTCGATCACACGTTTACAACAATTGAACATTTACAGGTTGTCGCCTTCACCTACACTGACTGGTCGTACGCTCCCACCTCCAGAAGCCAGTCTCTAATTGACATGATTGGTGACTACCACTTCGTCTGCCCCGCCGTTAAGGAGGCAAGCCGTTATGCAGACGAAGGAGAAAACGTGTACATGTACATTTTCACACATCGGTCAACGAACAGCAAGACGCCGGAATGGGCTGGTGTGATGCACGGGGAGGATATCCCGTATATTTTTGGACTTCCGCCGGATGTGTCCGGCTTCACGATGTATGACAAGGAGGTCAGCAAACACGTGATGAACTACTTCAGTAACTTCGCGAAAAGCGGGTAAGTGCGAGCTACCGACGCACTTGTGAAATGCTGCCACATATATGTGCCAAGCTCTGGCCTCGCTGTTTCCTAAAGTCTTTAATTCTCTTGCGCAGTTTCTGATCTTCGTCATTTTAATCAAATCAGATGTCGATTTTCAAGTATGGAAACGAATTAAGTTAAGAAAAAATAATTAAAAAAAGTTTCCCTGTACATTTGCGGTTGTTTCGATTGGATATAAACCATGACTTGTTTATAATCATATATTTTTTGTGTCAGAAATCCAAACAAGCCTAGCCAAGTTGACGAGCGGTGGCTGGCATATAAGGTTAATGAGGGGACGGATGGCCCTAAACGCTACTACAAGGAGCTAAGCACTAAGAAGAATGCTTGGGGACGCGGCCCTCGCCTGCGTGAGTGTACCCTATGGAACGACGTCGTGCCATTTCTGCAGCAGGAATCAGGTATATAATCATCCACTAAAGCACCCACAATGATGCAAGCGAAGCTTTATACGTTTTCCTTTAAGCAAACGAGCGATAACATTTTTGTGACAGCGTGACTTGGTAAGAAGGGTGCACTATTTCCTGTGATAGTTAACTTTGTGATTTGATTACTTCTGGGGAATTGAGTAAAAGCACTTTTGACGGTATTTAAATGAAGACTCTCGCTACCATTTGATGAGGCTCATTAAATTGTAGTTGCGATTGAACTCTCGCAGGCAATCAGTTTTAATTTACAAACATTTTGTTCGTTTCAGAGAGCAGTGGATTGGGAGTCACGCCAACGGTAATCACAATTGTGACAGCCGCTATGTCGACTCTAGCGTTGATTTCGGTGTAAATGTTAACATTTGCGCCTATGCCTACGTCGCACTAACAATACATAACGAGCAATACATCACTAATTACGCGAATGGGATTCAACGCAGTTTTCACATGGTAATTTCTCATTGGTGGAGTCGTCCTAAAGAGTTTTATTGAGATTGGCATTGACATACGGTGAGTTGTATGTACTACAGCAGCATGAGTGGCAGTAACGTGTGGCGCTCTTCCTATGGTTTCTCACACCGAATTTCCTCCGAAATCAAATCACTGCTTTACTCTACTTTAATCATAGGCGATGTGTGATAATTAAGCCACAATTCAGTTAGCGGCTAATGTTTTAAACTACGTGCTATATGAGTCGGCATTAGAATACTTATATCTTATCGAATTCTGACTTAATTTTTAATCGATTGAAAAAAGTACATACAAAAAAACAAAAAATTTGCTGTTGCCTAAGCTTGTTGTTTTTGGTTTTCTCTCTTTCTCGCTCTCTCTCTCTCTCTCTCTCTCTCTCTCTCTCTCTCTCTCTCTCTCTCTCTTTCTCTCTCTCTCTTTCCCTCTCTCTCTCTCTATCTCTCCCTCTCGCTTGCGCTCTTTCTTTCTCTCGATCGCGCTCTTTCTCTCTTTCTCTCTCTCTCTCTATTTCTCTCTCTCTCTCTCTCTCTCTCTCTCTCTCTCTCTCGTTCTCCCTTCTCTCTTGCTCGCTCTTCCCCGCTCTCACTCCACTCTCAGGTGTGGTGTGTGGGCGTACATTCGTGGCTATACGTGTGCTTAAATAAGCGTGCTGCAAGTGGGAAGATTTAAGTCAATGGTAAATCACTCCCACTGTGTCATTAGTCAATAGGTGTAAATTAGCAAGACAGAAAAAATCAACCAGATAGGTTGCATAAAATTGCCTACTTCAATATGAGTAGATCGAGGCTGTGGCTGCAACGTTTCCTAGAGAGCGCGCGAAGCAACGACCAACACCGCTTGTCAACGCTATTCAAGGTTTGCCGCCATATGTACGTTTCACCGACAGGAAGTGCTGCACAGCAATATTGTTTGACACGCGAGGAATTCTCCCACGTCGCAGCTGGTTTATGTAAAATAACCGACTGACATAGCAGGGGGTCCGTAGTCGGCATTTGTTTCCCTTCTCTCTCTAGTGTTTGTGTGTTTGGGGTAGTGGGATGTTTGCATGCGTGCGTGCGTGCGTGCGTTCGTGCGTGCGTGCGTACGTGATTTTGTGTGTGATGAAGGGCGCATTGTGGGGAAAAATTCTCTAGCTATATACTATAAGTTACTCCAGCTTATAGGTACCCGGCCGGCAACAACTGTGCAATGTGGACATTGATCAAATCACTGTCGGGAGAATTAATTGTAATATTTCGCCAGTATCAGTGGCCAGAAATGTAGGTTGCTGGTTTGATTTGAGGCTAACGATAGAGACTCGTGTTTCCAAACTCTCTAAATAGTACCTCATTTTTCCATCTTCATAATATTAGAGGAATCCGAAAGTTTCTTTCTACGGAACCAACAAAAATCTTGGTTCACGCATTCATTACTAGTCGTGTTGATTGCTGCAGTAGTTTACTTTATGGGCTGCGACCCAGGTAGGGGCCTACAACTGAATATGTTACAGCGAATCCAAAATGCAGCTGCTCGGCTTATCTGCAATCTATCCAAGTTTGATCATATATCGCCTGTTTTATATCATTTGCATTGGCTGCCAGTATATTTCCGTATAGAGTTAAAAATATTACTCATCACTTTTAAGGCATTACATTGTATGTCACCAGATTATATCAGGGAATTAATTAGTCACAGTAAAGAGACCTATACTCGGTACAGTCTGCGCTCAGGTAACTAAATATTAATTGAGTCACCAGCTGTAAAAACGTTGGCTACACTTGGCGATCGAGCTTTTTCATCAGCTGCCCCAAAATTATGGAATAAAAATTAAGCTACCTAGTCATATTCAATGTGAAAAGTCGGTGGAATGTGTTAAACGCCTAGCTAGAGTCAAAACTCATCTATTTAACATTGCATTTATATAACACATATAGCCATTATATTTTTAGGTGTACTTGATTTGAGTTCTATTTATTGGAAATGTTATATGATTGTCGTTTCTTAGGATCTATATTTTATTTATTATCAGGAAATGTTATAGGATTGTCGTAATTTAAGTAACTATATTTTTCAGTGTTGCAGTCCACTGTTTTATAATCAGCCTTGAACAATCTATAATGCGCACGTGAACATATTTGCATGTAACGTGCGCAATATAAATAAATAAATATTATTATTATTATTATTATTATTATTATTATTGTTATATATATATTATGTGTGAATAATATACGAACAGGAATACTTTTCACAACAGATCTTGTGGCATAAAGAAGACAGGAATAAATTGGATTTACTGCGTTGTAGGCCGGCCTATATATATATATACTTGTCACAATAACACAATTAACACAGTACACGTAACACAATTTAGAGTTTGTGATTTGATGGTTTTTGGACCCGGGGGGGGGGCACTATATTGCGGTATTACCCCCATGTGCTTCCAAATTTTGCGGGTTAGGGGGGTGGTTTTCAACTCGTAAAGCGGGGCCCCGCGCCGGGAGCAAATAGGCCCCTTTTACAAGCTAATTCCCGCAATAAGCCCTCGGATCGTTCAAGTACAAGCACCGCGCCCGCTGGCGAGTATTTTTTTCCAGTCGACATAGAATTTAGCGCCTTCTGATTGGCTGCTTCGATTTGTTTGCCTTGAACAAGAAAAAACGCCCATTTGCTAACATAGCAAAGAATTGCAATTATTTTTGCACATAATAACCCTAAACCCTAACCTAACCCTAACCCTAAACCTAACCCTAATCCTTAACCCTAACCGTAAACCTAAGCCCTAATTTAAATTTAATTAACACTAATAAATGGATAATAAATTATTTAACAAAAATTTTTTGCTATTAAAGATATTTATTGTGTGTAACCATCATCATTGCAAATATTTCCGTGAATTAGAAAACAATTAGTTAAAATGGATAAAGCATTAGCAAAAAACCAGAAAACAAAAAAATAATTCGAAAAACCAAACGGGATTTCGAACCACCGCCCTTTTAGACATAACGCGTGTGTCCTACTCCGAACACGCCACAAAAAAAAGCACTATGACATTATTGTCTAAAATAAGCAGAAGCACATGGTGTTTTTAGAACCAAATCAGGGACGGCAAAGATGAGACAATCAGAACAATCAGAAGGCGCGCTAAATTCTGCGAATCGATATGTCGACTGCGGAAAAAGAAACGACCGCCGCTGCAGTAGGACCCCCTCACAGGCCCCCTCCGTTCCCTCCACTCGTTTGCCCTCCCACTTGTCTGCAAGACCTCGCCAATCGGGGGTAGGGTCGGGTAGGACTCTTTCATTACCTCCGCCAGGGGCTTGGCGGAGGTTATGTTTTCACCGTGCGTGTTTTGAGTGTTTGTGTTTGGGGGTTGTTAACATGCACGTTTCAATTCACTTCCGCTAGGTTGTGCTGTAGACTTACAAAACACGCAACCACAGGGCTAAGGGCAACCACAGTCCCCACCTGCACGCTCGCACTAATCCGGGATCAATTTAATTATTTAATTAATTAATTAATTAATTTTTCACTTAATTAATTAATTAATAAAAAAATTCTCATTGAGAGAATTCAGCTGCCTTGGCCAGAGGTCTGTCGCTGCTCGAGTGCTCTAGTTGTGTATGCAAATAGGGGGTTGGGATTATTTCATTGTGTAGCTGCCAATAAGGGGTGTAGTCTTTCATTGTGTCATTGCAATACGGATGGTAGGCGTTTTCCAATGCTGCAGTTTCGCACGGGGGCCTTACTATATTATTTTTAGTGAGACGCCACATGCGGGTAATACTGGCATATATGTGACCCCCGGGTTTTGGAAAGTTGTTAGCGCGCACTTCGTTTTTCTATTCGGCAAACTCAATATAAATTATTATAATCAAGTTACGATTGTCAAATGTTGGGTGCAATACACCGTTTTTTCGTATTTCTAGCCAATACAAATAACCAAATTATTCTCTTACCGCGTACTCATACCTACTCATCGCAATCAGCCTATTCAGCGTTGAGAAAAACCATTTTTGTGCGTGATGATCGCAGACGTGTTTTACAGTTTTTTAACTTAGATTGGGATTTTATCTAGAATGGTTGTTTTCTGACAATCAGAGCGGCCTTTAATTCAGACATAATAGCCGAAGCGATATATATACTTTTATCGATGTAACAGTATATTGTGAGGGTTTCTGATTTTTCTTCATGTTTCACATGTATAAAAAGTCGCTACGACCAATCTACATATATCTGGTATAAAACCAACATGCTTGTCCCTCTATTTGCTATCCTACTACCCTCTACAGTAACTCTCTACTTCTCCCAATACAATGCATGCTTGTCCCAGGGAAATAATATAATCTTTTTAGCTGGTTGGCCAGTCGACCGAACAAGAGACGATCTTTAGACTCCAACGAGTAGTTCGGCCGGTTAGCTCAGCTGGTTAGAGCGTCGTGCTAATAACGCGAATGTCGCGGGTTCGATCCCCGTACTGGCCAAATATTTTGTAAATTTGAATAAAACACTATATGTATAGCCCCCCTAATATTATATTTGTAGTATATTTTACATTGGCACCAGTAAATATTTAACTTTTCGTCGATTTATTGTCTGTTTCTCAAATCTGCAGTTTTTTTGCGAGAGTTCTGCAGTTTCTCAAATCTGCAGTTTACTGTACTCGATTTCCATTGTGTGAGAGAGGAGCAGTCATACAGGGATCAGTGTTCAGAGGTCCCGAGTTGGGAAAATCCAAGAAAAGGATCACTTGTGATAATGGTCCATCGCCGTTTTTTCGAGGTGCGCAAAAACAGGAAAAAGTTGTGGCGGGCTGCGACATGTATTTGTCGCGACACACCACCATTTTTTATAAAGTATACATGTAAAATAAAATGCAAATTTATTGCAAAAACAAAAATGTTTGACATGTGTGGCCTTTTATTGTTCGCTGGAATCAAAGTACATCAACAACAACGGCAAATTTAGTAATTTACTGATGTAAATTTTAAAATATGGCTGAAAAATGTTACGACCGGGACTTTCTGGACCAGCATGTTGCACCGGGTGCACCGGTGCACCTGCGGGGCACCGAGACCAACATGTTGGACAATCCTGGTGAGACCAGGACACTTAATTGGGACGTCTGGCAGTGTTACTTATCAGTTATGTGACTTATATAACTTATATATATTGATATTGGTATTGATATTGATATTGATATTGATATTAATATTAATATTAATATTGATATTGATGTTGATATTGATGTTGATATTGATATTGATATTGATATTGATATTGATATTAATAATTGATATTGATATTAATTGATGTTGATATATCTGCTGATGAATGTTCTGTCTCATTGTTTGTTTTTACTCACTCCAGACAATACCATATATATATCATCAGGAGTTAATGAGAGAAATTTTTTCGTCTCATTAACTCCTGATATCATGTTTATCAAAAATCATATGTATAGTACTGCCAACACATATATCGATACAACATATACATTTTTGATGTATACATATACGAATTTGTAAATCCATTGCACACCCACGCACCCACGCACGCACGCACGCGTGCACTGACGGACGAACGCACGGACTATAGGGACCCTAGCACGGACACACCAGGCACGTCGCCAGGCGGAGACCCCCGGAAGCTCGGGCTTCAACATCATTTCAGGATTTTTTTTTCAAATGTTAAAATATTTCATTTTAAAACTCGCCAGCGTACACCATTTGCCACGTAGCATTTCAAAAAATTTCGAGGTAGGCCCCCCGGACCTCCACCAGGGGAAGGGGTAATTAGTAATTACTAATTAACTCCCTTACACACTCTCCCCCTTAGTGACTGGGCTTCAACATTAGTCAACCCCTGCATGGCGACGGCCCTGCACACATATAGTAATGCATATGCATCATTATCAATTTATGCATGCATGATCCCATCGGCAGAGCTCTATAGTCATTTTGGGGGTGTCTATATTCAAGCCGGTACGGGAGATTACGGTACGCATATATTTGCTAATATATTGACTAATGCGTGGCGTCAATAAACTCAATATTCACAGAGAGTATAGCTAAGACTAGCTCTAGTACTATAGCCCGCTTACATTGACTGCCGCTGCCAGCGGCAGTCAATGTAAGCGGGCTATAGTACTAGAGCTAAGTAACACATGTGATCTATAGGTATCTAGAATATGTTATGCAAATGATCTCCCGTACCGGCTTGAATATAGACACCCCAATATACTCTCTCTGAATATTCAGTTTACTGACGCACGATTAGTCAATAGCAAATATGTGCGCGCGGAAGTGAATTACAGATGATTAAATTTCTAAAATTTTAGAATACCTATAAGACACAATGTTCTTAGCTATACTCTATGTGAATATTGAGTTTATTGACGCTCGATTAGTCAATATAATAATATTAACAAATATATGCGTACCGTTACGTAATCTCCCGTACCGGCTTGAAACCCCAGTTAATTTTGGTGAAATTACTCCATCGGTGCGCAGCGCCACCACCCGCAAATAGCACTTGAAATAGAAAAAAACCAGTCGCTTTTTCATCTCTGGGCGCAATAGCCGTGATCGCTATAGTGGTTAGTACCTTGCGTTGTGGCCGCAATAACCCAGGTTCGAATCCCTGGTCACGGCATATACTACTCTGTAGCCATGTCACGGCAGGAGATTTCTTTTTTTCCTTTATGCGACAGTGAACAAAGTTCTGAAGATTTTACACAATCCTTATAAATTCGATGTTTTTTCTTCACGTAAAGTTATTTACTAAATATTACGCTAGTGTAGGTTTATCATAGCACATCACCCTCCATTGAAAATAGTAACGACGCTCAGAAAAAAAATAAAAGACTGGATTGCGCACATGGGCGTTCAGGGGCTTGAACCCTGGTGCTGCCTGTTCAGTGACGACTGTACTTAGCGAAGTACCCATCGTGCATAGCCAGCTCGTTGTACTCCTTTTCAACAGCATATATCGATAAGCCCGAGCTGTGATAGAGATAGACTGGCACTGATATTTTTCTGTTTGGCAGCCTGCTACAGATTGCGCAATAATCGCGCCGCTCTGGTGCAGACTATATCTGCTCTCTCGCGATACGCCCTTCGTCACATGACGTCACGGTGCTTGGCGCTTTGGCGCGAGAGAAGAATAAGGCGAGAAGAACTTATGCATGCGCTATGAACGGAAAAATAACAAACCTACGCATGTGACATTTCCCAAGCATTCGAAAAATGACCTACTAGTACTGTCTGGCACAATACGGCCCTGAATGAGGTGAGAAATTCTGGAGAATTCTCATTCCCGGCTTGACGCAGCGTGCGCAAGATCGGGACGGCATACGTTGTATAGTCTTATATTGTTAGACCTCTGATATATATATATATATATATATATATATATATATATACATATATATATATATATATATATATATAATTGTTTAATAATGTCTAATACTGTTTCGAATATGAATTTGTTTAAAGTCTGAAATGTGCGCTTGGTGCTCTTTTGGTGTTTCGCGTAACGCGCTGCTATAGCGAATATTTTAGCAAATCTCATAATCAATTAAACGATAATGAACACAACCGTGAGTGAATTATCACAAACCTTTATTTAATAACAGAGTGGGTATATTTAGAGGTAGAATGTTGCAGTGAAGTATGAGCTGAATGACGCGACTGCTTTAATGGCTCGATCAGCTTCGGCCCGTCAACTTGCTTCTCTCTGCACCAATTTCTGCATTGGCCTAAATATTGTTCATATAAAATTTTACTCGGCTGCTCGCTAATCATATCTAACGCATGTTATCGGTGAAAAAAGTCTATTAATGGCGACTAAAATCAGAAAGCCTGCGATCACTCAATTCAACTTTAATACCTACCCGCGATTATATTAAAATCGCTCGGAAAGTATCCCGCGCATCATTCCTATGATTATATTGATTATAAGGTAGTGAAGCGTCAACGTCACATCAGAAACATCACTCCTAATATAATGTACAGTTTATCTACAAATATGCTATAATCAGCACGTAATATTACAGATGAACACGCGCGCACACATGCAAGCACGCACAGCACCAGCACGCACACGCACGCACGCACGCACACACACACACACACACACACACACACACACACACACACACGCGCGCACACATCTGCTACTGGTATCTGCTTCCTAGGTCACGTCATGTTCTCGTTAGTCGCTATGCGGACTCGCAGGCAAATGGACTCTCCATTTCCACATCGCGGTTGACAACGGGAGCATGCTGCCTCCTAGAACGATACGAAATACACGCATGCTGAAAATATATGGAGTATAAAGAAAATGCGTGGTCATCTAGATTGTTCAGTGCTCGACTTAATGAATCACGAAAAACGCTCCACATGCACTGCCATAGCTGCTGTAATTACCTGACGTAACACGAACAATATTTATTGTCCCGCCCGAAGCGGTTTGCTTCTTCGGCAGTTTCCGGGAGAGGCTCATTGAGAGTTTCTGGTAAGTAGAGACACAGTGCGGCTCCCAAGGCTGCCAGACCTCCGAAAATCAACATCGGTATAGTATTGCTGTATTTAGCCTGAAATAATCACCTTGTCCGTTAATACGGCTGAGAAAATATGAAAACGATTGGTAAACACACGAGAAATCCTCCCTTTAAAGCACGTTAGGCCTATACATATTACCATAGTTACGTGGCAATGCTACGTCCTAGCATTTGCATCGAATGTGTTTTAGAATTAGCTTCAATGAAATAAAATTAATGAAATATTTATTGGCTTCGAGATTACTGACCAGCGTCATGATCTGAGGCGCCAGCATCACTCCGGCGTTAGAGAAGAAGCCGCAGGTTCCTATGGAGACGCTGCGGAGGCTCGTGGGGAAGAGTTCGGCGCCGAAGACGTAGATAACCGTAAACGATGCCGTAATCGTGAATTTCGCTATCATTGCAATAGTTATCGACAGCCACTGAACACCTACAACGAGCAGTACGCCACAGGTGTAGACAGAGCCAGTTACTACCACCCGCAGCAGCAAATTGATTCTATGTAGCGAGGTAGTACCATAGAAATAATAATATTATAGATAACCATATCTATCTATATTATTTCTATGGGTAGTACGGAACGTATGTCGTCGTTAGTCGTCAGCTGAACTGGCGGTATTTGATAGCGGCTATTTTTCATGATAATATTTTTTCAGGGAATATTTATGGTTTATTAGATACCTATAGACACATGTCTTAGCTATACTCTATGTGAATATTGAGTTTATTGACGCTCGATTAGTCAATATAATAATATTAACAAATATATGCGTACCGTAATCTCCCGTACCGGCTTGAAACCCCAGTTAATTTTGGTGAAATTACTCCATCGGTGCGCAGCGCCACCACCCGCGAATAGCACTTGAAATAGAAAAACCAGTCGCTTTTCATCTCTGGCGCAATAGCCGTGATCGTATAGTGGTTAGTACCTTGCGTTGTGGCCGCAATAACCCAGGTTCGAATCCTGGTCACGGCATAGCTACTCTGTAGCCATGTCACGGCAGGAGATTTCTTTTTTTCCTTTATGCGACAGTGAACAAAGTTCTGAAGATTTTACACAATCCTTATAAATTCGATTGTTTTTCTTCACGTAAAGTTATTTACTAAATATTACGCTAGTGTAGGTTATCATAGCACATCACCCTCCATTGAAAATAGTAACGACCTCAGAAAAAAATAAAAGACTGGATTGCGCACATGGGCGTTCAGGGGCTTGAACCCTGGTGCTGCCTGTTCAGTGACGACTGTACTTAGCGAAGTACCCATCGTGCATAGCCAGCTCGTTGTACTCCTTTTCAACAGCATATATCGATAAGCCCGAGCTGTGATAGAGATAGACTGGCACTGATATTTTTCTGTTTGGCAGCCTGCTACAGATTGCGCAATAATCGCGCCGCTATGGTGAAGACTATATCTGCTCTCTCGCGATACGCCCTTCGTCATCATGACGTCACGGTGCTTGGCGCTTTGCGCGAGAGAAGATAAGGCGAGAAGAACTTATGCATGCGCTATGAACGGAAAAATAACAAACCTACGCATTGACATTTCCAAGCATTCGAAAAATGACTCTACTAGTACTGTCTGGCACAATACGGCCCTGAATGAGGTGAGAAATTCTGGAGAATTCTCATTCCCGGCTTGACGCAGCGTGCGCAAGATCGGGACGGCATACGTTGTATAGTCTTATATTGTTAGACTCTTGATATATATATATATATATATATATATATATAATATTAATAGATATATATATATATATATATATAATTGTTAATAATGTCTAATACTGTTTCGAATATGAATTTGTTTAAAGTCTGAAATGTGCGCTTGGTGCTCTTTTGGTGTTTCGCCGTAACGCGCTGCTATAGCAGAATATTTTAGGCAAATCTCATAATCAATTAAACGATAATGAACACAACGTGTAGTGAATTATCACAAAACCTTTATTTAATAACAGAGTGGGGATATTTAGAGGTACGAATGTTGCAGTGAAGTATGAGCTGAATGACGCGACTGCCTTTAATGGCTCGATCAGCTTCGGCCTCAACTTGCTTCTCTCTGCACCAATTTCTGCATTGGCCTAAAATATTGTTCATATAAAATTTTACTCGCGCTGCTCGCTAATCAATATCTAACGCATGTTTCGCGTAAAAACAAGTCTATTAATGGCGACTAAAATCAGAAAGCTGCGATCACTCAATTCAACTTTAATACCTACCCGCGATTATATTAAAATCGCTCGGAAGATATCCGCGCGCATCATTCCTATGATTATATGCATTATAGGTAGTGAAGCGTCAACAGTCACATCAGAAACATCACTCTAATATAATGTACAGTTTATTCTACAAATATGCTATAATCAGCAGTAATATTACAGATGAACACGCGCGCACACATGCAAGCACGCACTCACGCACGCACGCACGCACGCACGCACCACACACACACACACACACACACACACACACACACACACGCGCCCACACATTCTGCTACTGGGTATCTGCTTCCTAGGTACGTCATGTTCTCGTTAGTCGCGTATGCGGACTCGCAGGCAAATGGACTCTCCATTTCCACATCGCGGTTGACAACGGGAGCATGCTGCCTCCTAGAACGATTCGAAATACACGCATGCTGAAAATATATGGAGTATAAGAAAAATGCGTGGTCATCTAGATTGTTCAGTGCTCGACTTAATGAATCACCGAAAAACGCTCCACATGGCACTGCCATAGCTGCTGTAATTACCTGACGTAACACGAACAATATTTATTGTCCCGCCCGAAGCGGTTTGCCTTCTTCGGCTCAGTTTCCGGGCAAGGCTCATTGAGAGTTTCTGGTAAGTAGAGACACAGTGCGCTCCCAAGGCTTGCCAGACCTCCGAAAATCAAACATCGGT